AAGAGAGCAATCCTTAAACTAAGTTGAGGGGCGGCCTGTCTTCAGGGAACATGAGGTTCCCATCTTGAATTTCTGGCCATGCTTGTGAAAATGGTTATTGGGCCATTATTTTGGATTCACGAGAGACCGTCACTGAACCAGTCTTTTTTCAGAGTCTTGAATTCATGACCATCAATCATCACTAGGCTATTTGGCTGGGCTCATGATCCATGAACGTGCATATAAACATATCTTTCAACCTGTAATGTCGACCAAACATGCAAGCGCGATATATAGCCTTGCTCGCCGCTCATGGATCATGCCAGTGAATGAGGCTTGGTTTGGCGTCGACATTACAGGTTGAAAGATATGTTTATATGCACGTTTGATACACTGTTTCGCTGGGAATTATATCGACCCCCATACCAAAATAATGCTGAGAAATGAATGCCGCGCCAACATGCGGCCAATTTGTGTATCATTCACTGTTCTCAAGTGAGCGAGAAGACAGTCATAGATGGTCTTCTGATCCCACTACCTCTCCGCTATTTTATGATGTCGTTTTGCCTTTCAGCAGTCCTTACATGGTTTTGCTCCTGGTTTGGAGAAGGAGATGACATGCTCGAAGTATCTCTTGCTGATACGATCCAGCGCCAGAACGGCTCCTGACGTGTTGAATGACAGTGACGCTAGGCCCTTCCCCTTTCGAGTCTCCTCGTCTGGTGCAACTCCCCGCCCTTCCTCCCCTATCACACCCACTATCTTCGTGGGTTTCCATTATTTCTCCCCAGTTTCCGAGATTTTTACTAGTTTTTTCTCCCAGAGACTGCCGCAACGGGGTGATGAGATATTAGCTAATGAAAGAATAATAGCAATATAAAAGGAAAAATAGACTTCAAAAAAGGGAAAAAACAGTTCGGAACACTTTCCTCATAACAATACCCCCTCAGCGACCAATAAGACCTCCCTAATGGGATCCTCTCGCCCATTTTTTGAACATACTTTTTTTGGAGAAATGTTATATGAAAATAAAGTGCACATAGCTATACTCTTCATCCCTGATGGAGTAGGCGTGCCATTTGAACATGGCATAGAATGAGTTACTCGTGAGATATCCCAGTTTAAGACAACTGTCATCTTTTTCTATGTTGAACAGAACTAACGAAAAAAAAATTTTGTTTGAATTGTAAAGATGCAAGCTGCGGCGTGCTTCTTCAATATTTTTGTGATAATTTTTCGGAACACTCACATTCTCCTTTGAGCTATTAATAGTTGGACAGACTATCAGTAACTTGAAAGTCACTCTAGTCCAAAAATTAAGTGCAGTCACTTTTTGAGCAGCCAGACGAAGGCCCAACAATTCTCGTGTCTGAATTGAAGCTCACATGTCACGTCTCCCATGTCGGGTTGAATTTTTTCATTTTTGAATACGAGGGTTTTCTATTAAGAAACAGTGTAAAGCCTCGTCTCACCTCGTGTCCCGCTACTGCTTCGCTTCGGACTTTTTCAAAGCCTGTGATAGGTAACTGCTCTTGGGAGAATTCACTATGAGACTACTAATAACAAGGCAGTATTTGGGCGAAAATACTCAACAGGGTAGAAATAGACACGGGCTCAAGACCAGTCCGTGCTCAGACGAAAGCGCGAAGACAGTGGAAGTCCGACGGGATACTAACCAGTAAGACCCAAAACTTTGGTTTGTGAAAACCTTTTATCGGGAGCCCCACAGACGAAATGGAGACCTCCAGAAACAAAACCACTTATTGTTGACAGAAGTGGCCGACAAGACTATTACAAATCAAGTTGCGACATGACGGGACTAATGTCTCCGTGAGCAGGAGGAAGATGATGGAGGCATGAAGAGATGTAGATGAACAAAAGGTTGAGCGATGGAGATAAAGAGATGAGAGTTAGATAGATGTACAGGGGGGGGGGCAAAAAAAGACACTTCGGCCGAGTCACATATCAGCAAAGTTTTCGCAGCCCAGACAGAGACGTGGATACGAGTACCAGGGCGGAAGATACCCAAGATGTTCCTCGATAAGCAGGAGCTGGCTCTCGCCCATCACCTTCATGTACACCAAAATATGAAGTCATCTCCAATCGCAGCCTGACTGGAGAAGGCCTTGGAATTCACGTCACCTCCAAACAGCTGCGAAACTTCTTGTATGGAGTCACCCATGGATAGCTACCTGGAGACCAGTACTCTTGATCTGGAAGACCTCCAACATCGAGCAGCTCCAACAACGTCGCCACGGTCCAGGATATCATCTTCACCGCAGTCGCCAAGGCGCGGGTTGATGGTATGGACCGGAAGTACCTGGAATGGAAAGACCGATATTTTCTTCGTGGACCCCGGACTGAAAGTGAACGCTGACTGTTACATCGAACAGCTCGAGGAGAATATCCTGCCTTCATGTCGTCGCCTGCACCATCTTGGAAACTTCGTACTGAGTGTCAGCAGTGGAATCGAAGAGTATTGAAAAAGTCTCACCTACTTGGGACCGAAGGGCATTGAGAACCTGAAGAAGAAGGAATATGTGTGTCACCTGCCCTAACCCCCCCCCCCCCCCCCTCGATTACCGGGTCCGGGAGGAGCTCAACAGGGTGGTCTACAGTGGCGGAGAAATCAACGACCTCGCTGAACTCAGGCACCGAATCACAGTCACGTGGCAGAATCATCCAGAAGGCTGTGGCGGAGTATCGTGATAGTGTACAATGTGTTGTTGAATTTGGTGGTGAAAATGTCCAGTCAGAATTTAATAAAGTGTAACTTATGTCGCCTTAAAAGTCGAGGAAAAGAAGCGCATTTTTTTGCCCCTCCCCTGTGGAGTTAGAAGCGGGAGACAACACAATAAGGTCAGAAGCGAACGGCATTAGATAGCGCCGCCAGCCTGACATTTTCACTCCACACAAACAGACCTTTTCCACAATGTGGGACTGTAACCAAAGAACAATGTCTGGGGATCGTTACTATCTGTCGAATGCAGTTCAGGAGTCGCATCCGAATATCCGATTTGCAGCATCGACAGTGAATCAGCAGAGCATTTCCTAGCTAGATCATTTGGCAACCTACACCACTATCTCGTTAGTCAAGTGATTTTGGTGCACATACTGTGCGCAAGTGACATCATTTGTAACGCTCCCGGCCGCAACTCTGGCTCGGTAAACTATACCTCGCTTGTCAAGGAGAAGTAAAAGTAAGCTTCATCATTTATTGATCAGGAAATAAATTACTAGAAAAGATCACCAACAAATTCACCATAACAACTGTTAGAGGTAATAGAAACTTCAACAAATTGGTAATATGCTACACCAACATCAGTGTTTTCTTTCGGCGGCAAACGGATCTTCTGGGTGACCTTCCATGCTGAAACAAAATACATTTGCTGTCTGTCACAGGGAGAGGTAACTACGGTAACATGCAGAGGGAACGTAATCAAATAAAGCTATAGCCTGTGGACGCTGGGGCGTATGAGAGGCTGCATTTGGCGCGATGCCACCAGTTCTCCACCAACTGTTGAAGCCGGCAAGTGAGTACATGACACTGACGGCTGGCGAAGCGCCAAACCCAGCCCGCCACGCCCCGGCCACCACTCGCAGCGAGCAAGACTGTAGGGTCCAGTCCTTTCTGCTCGGAACGATCTAGCGTGTAGATAAGGAAGATTTCTCGTTTTGAATGACGAATTTGAGGAATTCCACTTCATCAGCTCCATTTTCACACCATGTTCAGAAAGGTAACCTTCGAGCCATTACAACGTCGTCACTCCCCCCCCCCCCCTCCTACACCCTGAAAAGTAATCTCGTTCTCTTTTCACCAATTGTCCCGCTCTTCTCTTTGAAACACTTTGAACTTCACTTCTTGAAAGCCCACTTCCGAGCTCTGTTTAGAACAGGAACCCATCTTAACAGACTCTGGATCAACTCATATCGTGAAGAAGAATACTTACAAGTCTTGCAAGAAAAGCCTCTGACGGTGTTTTGCTGACTCGAGCAGTTTGATGTCCTCATCAGTCAATGAGAAGTCGAATAACTATAAAACATACTTACTATTCAAGTAAACCAAAAGATTAAAAAAATACCAAACCGGAACCTGGAAATTTTCAACGATTCTTTTCGGACTCACTGACTTCGGTATGATGGCAATATCACGATCCATCACATATCGAAGCAAAATCTGAATTTCGGATCATTTTCAGGCAAAATTCAATGGTTAGCCTCTTTTACTGTGTTTTCAAACCTGAGCTGGAGTTTTGGAATATTTCTTGGCCAACTGCTTCACGTGCTCATCTTCTAGCGCATTTGGTGCAGGAGCCCAGTCAAGTTTCCTGGAAATCGCTGTGTCGTTAGATAAAACATTTTTACTCTTTGATACCATTTAGGGTCTTTGGGAAAAAAACGGTGAGAGAGTGACAGCATGTGCGTA